ACTCTTGATCATACATTTAAACATAAAGCTGACTAAAGAAAAATGAATTATTCGGTAAATTTAAATAGTTTCCAAAATCTTTTTTGATAAACTGAAACAAAGTGTCACTGAATTAGATGAAGTAATGATTTAATTTAAATTAATTAAATATCTTGATAATTTCCTTTTTTAAAAAAACATGCTTATTAAAAATAGGATATATGTGATATTCACCAGTGACTCTTAAACTACATGGTGAAGGAACATGTATCTTTTGAAAAAGTCTAATCCATTAGAGACTAATCATTTTGTAAAATACAATACAAATAAATTACCATAAAAATGAACTAGAAAATATGGGACCATAAAAATGAACTAGAAAATATTATCAAATTTCTGTTCTTATAATGAAAATGAAAATATAACAATTCAAACTCTATGGGATGTAGCAAAAGGCAGTCCTAAGAGAAAAGTACATTGCACTCTAGGCCTATGTCAAGAAATTAGAAAAAGCGCAAGTACAAAATCTAACAGCGCACCAAAAGGAACCAGGAGAGAAACAAGAGCACCCCAAACCCAGTAGGAGAAGGGAAATAATAAACAAAACAAAGGAAAAAATAAACAAAATTGACAAACCTCTTGCCAGTCTTCTCAAAAAGAGAAGAGAGAGCACCGAAATAGACAAAATCATGAATGAAAATGGACTTGTTACAACCAACCTCTCAGAAATACAAGCAATTATCAGTGAATACTATGAAAAATTATATGCCAACAAATTGGACAACTTAGAAGAATTGGACAAATTCCTAAACACACACTCACTACCAAAATTCACATGAGAAGTGATACACAATCTTAACAGACCCATAACTAGTGAAGAAATTGAATCCATTATCAAAAATCTCCCAACAAATAAGGCCCCTGGGCCAGATGGCTTCCCTGGGGAATTCTACCAGACATTTAAAGCAGAGTTCATACCCATTCTTCTCAAGCTATTCAAAAAAATAGAAATCGAAGGAAAACTTCCAGACTCTTTCTACAAAGCCAGCATCACTTTGATTCCCAAGCCAGACAGAGACCCAGCAGACAGAGAGAGAGAGAGGGAGAACTACAGGCCAATATCCTTGATGAATATGGATGCAAAAACCCTCAAGATACTTGCAAATTGAATCCAACAGCACATAAAAAGAATTATCCACCATGATCAAGTGGGACTCATTCCTGGGTTACAGGGCTGTTTCAATATTCGCAAATCAATCAATGTGATACATCACATTAACAAAAGAAAACATCAAAACCATATGTGCTGGGACCCGCTCTGGCCTCTTTGGATGGCAATCACAGCAAGGAAGTGGCAATGTTTGCAGCTTCTACCATGAGAAATGAAAACTGGTATCTCTTTCTGCTACTACTGGCTCATGTTGGATATAAGCCTGCTGGTATTGACCAGACCTCACAATATTCCATATCAGACCCATATTCTGAACACAGATACCTCATAAGGAAAAGTATATTCCTGCCTTTACAAAAGAGATTTTAGATTAAAGCTCTGTGGGCGATTGTCAAAAGGCTCTTCCTATGGGCCTTGCAGATCCGAGACTTAGGGGGTTAAGAACATAAGAATTACAACTGAGCCTGGCCCTGAGACCAAGGGCCTATTTTGGGGTTAAGAGCAAAGCATAGTTAACCACATATATCTTTGCTAATTGGTGAAGCAAAACAGTCCCTTCCTCAAGGCCTACTTTCCACAAACACCCTCTCTTACATTGGCAGCTGGGATGAGGATAGATAACAGTAGCTAAAACATAACCCAGGGGCAAAAGACGGGCCCATTCAGGGTCCCCATGTTAGTCTCCACAAACAAACCAATTCAGAAATATTCATCCTCTTGAGAGCCAGACAATATACTCCTAACTTATCTATATACAATTTGACCTATATGTTATCCTATTTTTCACTAAGAACATTCTGTTATTTCCTTGGTCAGAATAATTCTACTATTGTTATCATAAAAGGCCTCCCATTGTAAGAAATTCCTTTCTGTGACTTCATCTTGTTGCTGAACCTTTTTTTTAAATAAAGATACAAAAACCGACAGGACAGAGATGCCTGCCTGGTGATCAGAAAGAATCTCGGGGCTCTCTCACTCTCTCTCTCTCTCTCGCCGACACCGTCCATCCTTCAGGGACCCCTGGATCTGCCAGAGCCGGCTTGGCCTCCAGCACATATGATCCTGTCAATAGATGCAGAAAAAGCATTTGACAAAATACAGCATCCCTTCTTAATAAAGACCCTTGAGAAAGTCGGGATAGAAGGAACTTACTTAAACATCATAAAAGCCATCTATGAGAAGTTCTCAGCTAACATCATCCTCAATGGGGAAAAGACTGAGAACTTTCCCCCCTGAGATCAGGAACACGACAGGGATGTCCACTCTCACCACTGTTGTTTAACATAGTGCTGGAAGTCCTAGCATCAACCATCAGACAACAAAAGGAAATCAAAGGCATCAGAATTGGCAAAGAAGAAGTCAAACTTTCACTTTTCGCAGATGACATTATACTCTACATAGTAGACGCGACAGACTCCACCAGAAGCCTACTAGAATTGATAATTTCCAAAGAAGTTAAAGTAATGAAGCAATTTCTAAACAGAGGCTTCTCTAATTTTGGTTATATTAAAGATAAATGTAGGTCTGTTGGTAAACTATTTTGGTGTTCTTTAGTGAAAATTTGTAATATAAAAAAGCACCTTTTTAGAAAATAAAAAATATAATTATAAATTTGCCAACCTGAAGAAAGCTAGTGTAACATACTGTTAACAAGTACTAGTAAGTTTTCACTAGTTTCACTGTTTTCACTAGAAATTAAATTCTAAGAGTTAACAACTCTAATTATTGTATATGGTCAGTTACTAAAAATAAAAATTAAAACATCTCTGAATGTAGGAGAAATTTTAAAAATAATGTCTGTGTACTGGAGACGTACTTTTTTTTGAGGCAAAAGAAAGTTGTAAAAGGTTGTGAAAAGGAATATTTGGAAAGCAATTTTCTTCATTGTCAGGCTTGACTTACATTGGAATGAACAAATTTTATTAAAAAGTAAGCTGGTACAAAATTAGAATTTGGTTTCTTTCCTTTAAGTTAAAGGGACAAATTTATAGTTTGCATTTTTAAACATTTGATCTGCTTTTAATAATGGTTGTGAGAGTTCCATTAACATTTAAGTGATCTTCCTAGAAAACAAAAATCCTGTATTTTATTTTGTATGTATAAAGTTATATAAGTGTTCTAAAAATTATGTGAAATTTCTGGAAATTTGATGTGTCCAGGTATAATCTTATCACTTGTAATTATTCTCTTACTTTCTGAAATTGCTGTCATCAAAATAGTGGCTCACATTAAAAGAACTACACAGGAATATCAGGAAAATGCCCCAGCTGACTTTCATGCAAAGGTATCCAGAGAAAGAATATATAAAGGTTATGGCACATGTGGAAAGAATTCATTCTGCTGCTGCCAAATTGTTCCGTCAGAGATTTTTACCATTCTGATGTCAGGGTAACATGGCAACACTCTGTTTCTGAATCAGAAAAAATAAGACAGGTAAACAATGGCTGTCCATTGAACCATCAGGGCTTTGGGAAACACAGGACAGCTGCTTAATTTTTCTTGGCTCCCTGGAAAACTCCAGTGTTTTTTTTTTCCACTTCTTTACTGCCATAGTGCATTAAGATGACTCAAAATACGACTAAACATTCGAAAGGAGACTTCTATAAAATTGTGGAAATGATCTACCAACAATGTCTGAGTTGTCTGGTCTATTACCCTGGAAATATTATTTTTGCCCCCAGATGCCTCATACCTATTCCCTGTGGATGTTTGAACACCTGCAGCTAGTCTTTATTTAATTGTCACCTAGTTTGGGCTATTAATATGTTCTTTTTTATTATTATTTATTATTTTTTTATTATTTTTCATTTTTTTACAAATAGTTTATTGTCAAGTTGGTTTCCATATAACACCCAGTGCTCATCCCCACAAGTGCCCTCCTCTATGCCCATCCCTCCTCCCCTCCACATCCATCAGTCCTCAGTTTGTTCTCAGCATTCAAGAGTCTCTCATGGTTTGCCTCTCTCCCTTTCCCACACCATTTCCCCCCTTCTTCTCCCCCTTGTTCCTCCGTCAAGTTCCTCCTAATCCTCCTATACGTGCCAACATATGGTATCTGCCCTTCTCTGCCTGACTTATTTCGCTCAGCATAACACCCTCAAGGTCCATCCATGTTGCTACACATGGCCAGATTTCATTTTTTCTCATTGTCATGTATTATTCCATGGTATAGATAAACCACATCTTCTTGATCCATTCGTCCGCTGATGGACACTTAGGCTCTTTCCATGTTTTAGCTATTGTTGAGAGTGGTGCTATGAACATGTTCTTCTTAATGTATGTGTGTTTTCCAGTTAAGTTGAAGCTTTTCCCTGCTGCAAGTCTGATACTTGCACAGTGACAGATTAACTGTTCATAATTTCTTTTTCTTTCTCTCTTACTTTTAAAACATTTCCTTTCCTGAAGCTCCTTTCTATTTAGGAGATAAGATACTACTAAAGTTCATGGATCTTTAAAGTCAATCAACTCTTTACAATTTGTTGATTTGAATTTTGTTTCTAAACAGATAATATGCATTATCTCCCCAGGGAAAGGTATTTACCATCAAATGGGGGCATATCTGATGGCAAAAGCTGCTGGGGAAAGTCCCTATCCACTGACTCCTCTGACATTAACACGAATCTTCTGCAGTTCACAGAAATAAAGATTGTTCTCCAACCGCACTCTGAAAATATCCCAAACAACTTAAATTTTCTAAATGGTTCACATCCATTCTGTGCTGTGCCATCCTGCTCTTCACCCTTTCAAGTCCACAGGACCCAAAATTGAGTATCCAGCTTCTACCACATTTGGACAGATCTATAATTCTATTTTTAGACCAGAACTAAATCCAAAGTGATTTCTTGCTTACCAACTCCTGAAAGAAAAGAGACTTGGTGTCACTGTTGAGCTCTGAAAGTGTCCACTGGCAGAGCAGGAAATGCTGAGTCTGAAGTGCTCACCCAGGAACACTCCTGTCCACAGACCGTCCTTGCACTGGAACAAGTCCTGTGTGCTGGTGTGGTCCCTGCAGAGATAAAGAGCTGACTGTTATCCAAACTTCTAAACTGTGTGTGAGGAGCTGGAAGGATTTAAATGGTCTCTGGCCTCTGCTCCACCCTCATACGAATCTGGCCAATAGAAAAGAAGCCATCACATTGCAGAGCCCTGCATTTCCAAGAACAGAAAGTGAAATCAAAGTTCTGAGGGCTCCTTTTCTGAGAAACACAGCTGTTTCCAGGAAGTGAAACTAAAAGGCACAATGGACACTGATTTTGTGTTTTTGGCAGCATGAGTGAGAGAAAGGAACAGAATTCCAGACAGGAGGCTTCTCAGTGACCCTTGAGAGGACACTCTAACCAGACCCCTGGTTCTAGGCCAGGCAGAATCTGAATCCAGAATCAGAGAACACAGACCTGAGTCCTGGAAAAATGGCACTCCGGGCCCCCTGTTAACACTGGACAGCCCAAACTCAATGAGTATTGAAGTCTAACAAAATGTATATCTAGTCGTTGTCTCTTCTTCCTGCCACAGAGCTTCAGAAACCCTGAGAATTTCTTGAGTGACAGGAGTTGACATTCTTACACCCTAGATAGCTTCAGACAGGTACCTAGGCATCAGAAAGATGAAGCATATGAATAGTGTGGGGACATTGAGTCAGTTGGACTTCTGGAGAGGAGAAAGGGTTGGAGATTTAGTTTAATCAAGTGCCAATGATTTGATCAATCAGGTCTACATAATGAAACCCCAATCAAAACTCTAGATACCAAAGCTCAGTGGGCTTCTTAGTTGATGTTTGCATTGATATTCTGGGAAGGTACTGTCTCTATTCCCTGGGGAGAGACATGGTAGCTGTGTACTCCCTCCCAGACCTCACCGTGTGTGTTACCCTTTTTAAATACACCTGAACTTATAAGTATACAGCTTTCCTGACTTCTGTGAATCATTCTAATCAATTACCAAAAACAGGGATTATGGGAACCCTCACATTTTTATACAGTCAGTTGGAGGTCCAGGTGACCTGGAGAATCCCTACAAGTGCAGCTGTTGTCTAAAATGAGGGCAGTCTTCTGAAGCACTGAGGACTGAAACTTGGGGAATCTTTACTAACGCTGGTGTCGTTAGTGAAAGAATTTAAAAGCAGTATACCCAGTTGGGTTGGAAACTGATTAGGGAGTAGTCCTGTGTCCTGAGGAGCCATATTCTGGCTTTAATTTTTATTTTTTCATTTATTTGTTGGATAGAAATCAACAATATAGTTTATAATTCAACAGCTGTAGATGGTACAGTAATATGTCCCTTCATAGACAATAGCCATTCATCAAGTTTCTGTACCAGAAGGACCATGTCGTCCTTACAGGCCCATATTATGCATATATAAGCAAATGTGCACAATCTATTTTCTCCTGTTTACAAGAATATTAGCATTCTCTACACAATGTCCTGAGCCTTGGATTTTTCTTTTGGTATTGGGTAATTATTCTAGATCAGCACACTCAAAGCTCCTCCTGTTAAAATATTATACACCCCAAAATAATATAATGGTATATGTTACCTAACTGGAATTAAAATAAGGGCTCCTGGGTGCCTCAGGCAGTTGAGAGTCCAACTCTTGATTTCAGCTCAGGTCATGATCTCATGGTTTAAGCCCTGAGTTGGGCTCTGTGCTGACAGTGTAGAACCTGCCTGGAATTCTTGCGCGCGCACACTCTCTGCCCTTCCCCCTGTCTCTCTCTCTCTCTCAATATAAATAAATAAACTTTAAAAAATAAAAATCTTAATTAAAAAAATAAATAAATGCGGTGCATCACATTGACTGATTTGCAAATATTTAACCAGCCTTGCAGCCCAGGAATATATCCCACTTGATGATGGTGACTAATTCTTTTAATGTACTATTGAATTCTATTTGCTAATATCCTGTTGAGCATTTTTGCATCCGTGTGCATCATGGATATTGGCCCGTAAATTTTTTTTGTAGGCTCTTTGGTTTTGGAATCAAGGTAATTCTGGCTTCACAGAATGAGTTTGAAAGCTTTCTTTCCATTTCTATTTTTTAAAACAATTTAAGAAGAATAAGTATTAACTCTTCTTTAAATGTCTGGTAGAATTCCTTTGGGAAGCCATGTGGCCCAAAATTCTTATTGTTGGGAAATTTTTAATAGCTGAACAATTCAAATTTCTATTTCTTCCCATTTCAATTTTGGTAGTGTTTGACTTTCTAGGAATTTTTCCACTTCTTCCAGATTGCCCAAAGTTGTTGCTATGTAATTTTTTATAGTATTCTCTTATAATTGTTTGTATTTCTATGGTGTTAGATTGTGATCTTTCCTCTTTTATTCTTGATTTTATCTATTTGGGTACTCTTCCTTTTCTTTATGAGAAGTCTGGCAAGGCGGTTGTCAATTTTATTTATTCTTTAAAAAATAACTTTTAGTTTCATTGATCTGTTCTACTGATTTTTGTTGGTTTGTTTCTTATCATTTATTTCTTTTTTATTTCCTTTCTTCTACTGACTTTAGGCTTTAATGGCTGTTCCTTTCCTAGCTTCTTTAGGTGTGAGATTAAGTTGTGTATGTGAGGCCTGTCTTCTAGAGATAGGCCTGAATTGTAATGTACTTTCCTCTTAGGACTGTGTTTAATGCATCCCAAAGGTTTGGACCGTCATGTTTTCATTTTGATTTGTTTCCATGTATTTTTTTTTTTATTTCATCTTTGATTTACTGGTTAACCCATTCATTCTTTAGTAGGATTCTCTTTAACTTCCATGTATTTGAGGGCTTTCCAAATTTTTTTGTGTCGTTTATTTCTAATTTCATGGTGTTGTGGTATAAAAATACGTATGGCAGATCTTAATCTTTTTGTACCTTTTGAGGACTGATTTTGAGACCCAGAGTGTAATCTGTTCTGCATAATGTTTCATGTGCACTCAAAACAATGTGTATTCTGACGCTTTATATTGAAATGTTTTGGATACATCTGTTATATCCATCTGCCATCTGGTTCAGTGTATCATTCAAAGCCATTGTTTCCTTGTTGATTTTCTGCTTACATGATCTGTCCATTGCTGTAAGTGGAGTATTATAGTATCCTACTATTTGGATATTATTATCAATGAGTTTCTTTATGATTGTGAGTAATTGATTTATATATTTGGATTATTTCAAGTTGGGGGCATAAATATTTACAATTGTTAGATCCTCTTGTTGGATAGACCCATTAATTATGATATAATACCCTTCTTCATTTCTTGTTACATTCTTTTTTTTTTTAATCAAGTTTGTCTGATATAAGTATGGCTACTCTGGCTTTCTTTTGACATCTACTAGCATGATATATGGCTCTCCATTCCCTTACTT